CGCCTTTGGACTTCCCAAGTAAGCTTTGGTTCGGCCCCCAAGTAAGAGTATTGTCCCCCTAATAGTGGTGTGCCGAAGGTAATGACAGGTGTGTACTTAGTACAGAACGCCACACAGTGATTCACTAACTGTTTTATTTACAACTGACAAGGAAACAAACACTACAACAATGAAAGGTTTCTTCTGCTCAACAGAGCTATACCTGAAAAGAGAGTGTACCTGACCTGAGAAATATCGATGCAGACGGGTGAGCCTCGGCCAGGTGTCGCCGGCAGCGGGAGTAAGATTCCGGGCAGCTACGATATCCGAGAACCAGAATCAGAATGAACCTTACCGTCCTCACGAGCTCTTATACCACTCGTTATCATACTTCATCGTAAACTCTTATCATAGATCAACACGTAGCTCGATGGCTTACCCGTCCTTACATCTCGAGCGGTCTACGCTTCTTTAGAAAATCACTCGGAGCTGTGCTCCTTGTTCTCTTTAACATGCCTCCCCGCCGCGGAGTCGTCGTCCTCGGCGACTGTTCAAGTCCAGGTAGCTTGAATTTGACCGCTTTTTCACAAATCACTGAGTAAACTAGTTTTGCCGCAGCTACTCCTGGATAGGAGTGATAAAATTGACCTGTCGATTCTGGGCTGCCTGCTTCAATGAAGACTTTATCCTTCACAATCCAGTTACTAGCCGTTGCTATCACTTGTTCTTTGCCCCCATTTTCATGAATGTCTCATCGAGCATTTTCCAGAGTTTTCTCATTGATTTCCAATCTCTTTCTGTCTGAGCGCTTATTGGGGTCCAGGCAGTCACTATTTTGCCTCCACATTCTAAGTGGTTTTTCGCTAATTCCATTATATCCTGGATCAATTTCTTGTCCCCTTTCCTTTCGATTGGGTAAACTATCACCCATATCGAGAAGGTGCTCCAATTCTGCAGCGTTTCTTTGAGTTTACCATATGATGTGGTTACCTTTGTAATGAGATTTCCCTTAGGTCCGTCACGTTCCAAGAGGAACGCTGTTTCTGGTGCTGCGAAGCCTACAGGACCTTGTTTTGGTTTTCTGACCGTTTGGGTTTCTCTTTGTAAGTCTTCTTTCAGTAGCGCAAACGCCTGTTTGTAGAAATCGATGATACAGTTTTGGTCGATGGGCTCATGCTTTGCGATATTTTTGTCGTACAGATGAACTCTGTCCATTCTGTACATACAGAGTAGGCGACTTTTAGGACTTTCTCGGAGCATCAGTGTCTAGCGTACTACGCAGTCTATGAAGAGCTCCACTTTTCGTGCCATACTCAACTCATCCCTTATGAAGATAGATTGCAGCTTTCCATGCCGACCAGAGATCCCCAAATGGTTGTTTCCCGTAGGCACCAGGAAACTGGATTCCTTCGATGTTCTGCAACGTTGTTTTTACAAAGCAATCATCCACACATTGGAACTGGAGATGTCCTTTGTCGGCTGGACTTAGCAATGTTACGCCTCTGAAATCATCACAGTAAGTTCTGCACACTTTTATTTTTGGCTTCCTTCCTTTGCGCCCCCTGACATGCGCTGTTTCTACTGGCTCGTTAGAAATTTCTTTTGGTACTATTCTTAGCATATCAAATTGTATCCTAATCGGCTCATTGTCTTTTCCAATTCGTGTCACTAGAGCGGAATTGTTGCTTACTTCGATCACCCTAAATGGTCCAGACCTTTTCTACTGCTAAGCTTTGGGTGAGATTTAAGACTTTTCTCATTTGGTGACCAAACGTATACACGGTCTCCTACCTTTGGATATTTCCTTCCTTCGACTTTATTTTCTTTGTCGTATATGTTTTTCATTCGTTCTCTTACTCGGTTGTTATATTCTTTGACTCTTTCGTGTGTTTCTGTGACAGCTTGCCAGAATTTCTGTTTTGTAGTCATCTATCGATTTATCTGTCATATATGGAGTTATCCCTCCATTCGGTATGATGTCTGATGGGAACAGAGGATCCATACCATGCAGAAGAAAGTATGGACTATCTCCTGTCGCACTATGGGGATCATGTTGTATGCCATCATACAGAATGGTAATCGTGTGTCCCATTCCGTTGGAACAACAGTACTCTTCGCAACATGGAAACAATAGTCCTATTGAGCCTTTCAGTCAACCCGTTTTCTCTGGGTTGTACCCTTTTGGAGTTATTTGCTTTAGCTTTGTTATTCTCGTTATTTCTTCCATCACATGGTTTACGAATTCTCCTCCTTTATCTGACAAGATTGCCTTTGGCCATCTGCATCCTTCTGCAATCCATCTGACAAAAATTGTTCTTGCATCGTCGCCGCTGATTTGTCTGGCACAGGATATGCAGCCGCATATTTTGTGAAATGGTCAATTACGGTTACGGCATATCTGTTTCCATTGGATGTGAGGCCCAGTTCCAAACGTGGACACCGATTATTTCGTATGGTTTCGAGGTAACGATAGGTTTCAGTGGCGTTATCAGCTTTTCTCTGGGGTTATGTATGAAGCACATTTGACGTTCCTTCGTCCATTTATTGATGTATTGTGCAACTCTGGTCCAGTAAACTTGCTTCAGCAAACCTGTCAAGAGCTTTTTCGCATTGGAATGGCCTGCGAACATTCCACTGTGTGCCTCTTTGAAAATTTCATAACGGTACGGTTTAGGGACAACTTGCACTGTTCTCCCATCTTCTAGGAGCTTTTTCAACTCTCCTTTCTCCAGTGCAAAATCAGCTACTCTCAATGGACGCTTCTCTCCCGTGATTCTTACCTCTTTGTCCCACTCTTCTCTTTCCATTAGTTGAATCAATTCGCTGAATTGCGGATCCTGTCTCAATTCGCTTAGCCACTGTGAATCTTTTGTTGTAACTAGGCTCACCACTGCTTCATTTAGTCCATCGAGTGGTTCTAACTCCACTGATGTTGGGACACTTCTGCTTAGAGCGTCGGCCACCACATTTGCCTTTCCTTTGACGTGACAAATTTCGAGGTTATACCGTTGTATTTCGAGTGACCATCCGAGTATTCGAGCAGACACATTACTACGTTTGAACAAGGGCTGTTAGAGGCTGGTGATCCGTCATGACGATTGTTGGGAGTCCATATATGAACATATGGAACCTCCGCACTGCAAAGATTACTGCCAGTGCCTCCAGGTCTGTCACATGATATCTTCGCTCCGCTTTACTCAGACTCTTTGATGCAAAGAATATAGGGTGCATTTGTTTGTCGTCACCTTCTTGAGACAATACCGCCCCTATACCTACTGCTGATGCATCTGTGCATATGAAAAATGGCTTGCTCCCGTTCTTCGCTGCTTCTACATCCGGTTGTTTGAGAACTGGTGCGGAACAGATCATTTCCTTCATTTTCTTGAAGGCGTCTTCGTGTTCTTTTTCCCAACACCACTTGTTCTTGGATGACGTCAAATTGAAGAGACATCCTGCTTGTTTGGAAAAGCCCAGGCAGAACTTTCTGTAAGAAGGACGCCATGCCTAAGAAACTTCGGAGCTGCTTGACACTTTGCGGAGTTGGGTAGTTCTGATTGCGGAGATTTTCTCCGGATCCATGTGCACTCCTTCGCTGTCAATAACGTGTCCGAGGAAAACAACTTTTCGTTTCATTAGATGACACTTCTGCGCTTTCAAGCGTAATCCCCCTTTTCTTAGACAACACAATACTTTTTCTAGGAGTTCGATATGTTGTTGTTTCGAATTTGTGCAAACCATTATGTCATCTATGTAACAGAAGACTTCTTCTCCAAGAAGATCTCCCAGTACAGTGTTCATCAGTCTCTGGAAATACTGGCGGACTTGTACTCAGTCCAAAAGGGGTGACTCTGAAATGGAATAGACCTTCGGGTGTTACGAAAGCTGACTTCTCCTTCGCATTGTCTTCCAGTGGTATTTGCCAGTATCCGCTACATAGATCTAGCGTCGAGAAGAAATTTTTTCCTGCGAGACTCTGGAGGAGAGCTTCCATGCTTGGAAGTGGATACGCATCCAATTTTATCTTCTTGTTCAGTTCTCTGTAATCTACACACAAGTCGGATTGAGCCATCCTTCTTTTCTACAAGAACAATGGGAAAAGCCCACTCCGATTTGCTGTGTTCTATAACTTTCCTTTCTAACAAGTCTGCTAGTAACTCCTTCAGTTTAGATCTTAGACCTAGCGGTACTGGTCTCGCTTTCATTCTGATTGGCGCGCAATCTCCTGTGTCTATTGTCATTTTCACTAGATCGGTCTGAGTTAGCTCTCGGTCTGATATCGAAAATGTATCTGGGTATTGTCTTATGAGGTCCCTTACTTCTTCATCTAGCACTTGGGACTCCGTATTTGCTGCTAGCAGCTCCTCTAGTTTTTGTAATCTCTCTGTTTCTGATAGCTCATTGTCAGCTCGGTCGGCTAGAAGGGGATTCAGATCTTCCCACTGCTCATGCCACTTGTCTGTTTCCCAATGACCAACATTCTGTCCTTTCTTCAACAGTAGTGGTTCCGTGCTATTGTTGAATACTGGAATCGTTGTGTTTTGATTTTCCACCGTGTATACTCCTGGCTCTACCCCGCGCTCACTGGGCCAAATCACTCTTTCTGTGAGACTTTTTGTGTCGTCTTCGCACTTCACTTGTACCAGGGCTGTGTTACTTGGTGGTATATATAGTCTTTTTGTCACAACCACTTTGTTTTTCTTATTTTCCTTCATTTTTGCCTTTTTATCTTCACTCTTCTCACCGTTTACAAATACCTCTATCCCTAGCTTACTTAGAGCATTTGTACCTATGATTGTCTCAGCGTCTTTCTCAGCGCTGAGATGGAACGCTATTGTTTCGCGTTGTCCCTTTTCGATTTCGACTTCAATATAAGCTGCGCCCTTGAAGTACATTCTGTTGTTTGATGCGTCGAATACGGGTTTCAGCTCTGACTCTGGCACTACCCGTAATGAGTCTACATCGTATCCTCGCTGTTGTGCTCTTGCTAACAGCCGTATAGGGATAATACTTATCATGGATCCTGTATCTACTAATGCTTTACAACGTTCCCCGAGGACGCTTAGAGGTACCATTATCTTACTTCCTACGAGGTCGTTCGTCCCGAACCTCCCTCTGACTTCCATTCCCAGGCTATGACATTGTTGTATGATTGATGACATTTTTGTTTCGTTCTCGCCGACTGGGACTTCCTTTTTGTTGAAGTTGTTTACCTTGACTAATCGCGAGTGACATTCTCGCGCTACATGGCCATACTTTGAACAATGGTAGCACTTTGTGTCATTCATTGTATCCCTGCTTTTATTTTGTTGCCTAGGATAGCTTTGACCTAATGCGTTCGTGTTCGTGACCCCTCTAGGACAGGAAGTTTCTGTTTTGTATCGAGCATTTTCACAGTTTTGACGCTCAATGTTCGTTGCTTTTGCTGCTCTCAGCTCCGATAGTCTTCTGTCGCCATTATCTTGGTACTGTGCATGCCTACTTTTCCATGTTTGTGAGTTACCCTTACTCGCTCTGAGTATTATCTTAGAATGTTCTATGCTAAGGGCTAGCTGTTTTATTTCTTCATATGCTTTACTCGGCTCTACTCTGTGCAGCGCTCCCACTAGCTGAAAGTGTTCCGGCCAAGCGCTTAGATTATCCAGAAGAATTTGGGCGTACTCCATCGACCGATCTTCTGGTGTGCTTCTGGGTTCGCCTGTTTGCCTATTTTCTCGAGTACTACACAGAATTCTGCTACTTCCTGGCCTGGCCTTATTCTGAGATTTTTCAGTTCGGTCAACGCCCTCATTCTACTTGCTGTAGAATCACATGCTAACAACCTTGACATTTCCTGTGTAATCACCTCAAACCCACTTTTTCTGACTATTGGTGGTAATGAGGAAAAAACATTTTTGGCTCGCCCTGCTAGGTGATCATCTGCTAAGATTTCAACTAGTGTCTCCTCGCAGTGAATAACGTTTTCGTACTTTCGTTTGAATTTCCTTAGAAACTCTTGAAAGTTCTCGCCTTTTGACCCTTTGTAAACTCCAGGATCAGCGCATGTCATGGCTCGCAAGTAGTTCACTAGTTGTATGTTAGCAGCCGCACCTTGATCCTCTTGTGCCGATGTCGTTGGTTGTGGACCCGTTCCATGTTTCTTCCAGCTGTGCACAAATCTCGGACCAGTCTGACAGGATCCTTCCTGGAACAAAGCATCTTGGCATGTGCTACTTATAGTCTGGATGCCAGTCTCTTGTTTATTTGGCTTACCCGGTATCATTTCCTGCAGTTCTCTACTTGTCTCTTTGCTGCATTTAGCTTTGATTGTTTCTTTGAGCTGTAATATGTCAGTATTTAATATCTCACACAATTCGCTGACAAGCTCGCCGTCCTTTTCCACTGTACTCACGTACCTCCTTCCAATCCTCAACGGAATCTATCCCTCGTTGAGTAAGCGTGTCCCTCACTTCTTTCATTAGCCCCTCTGGTATTTCTGGGTGATGTAAGGTATCACTTGCTAGTATTTCAACTGTTTCATGTATTTGCTCCCATTCCTTTTCTATGTCTTCTTTAACTTGCTTGGACATTTTACTATTAGCTATTACTGCTAATGCTCTCTCTCTCGCCGCTCGTATCAATCGCACACACTTGAGGATGTTTCCAGGAGGAGTAACACTGTCTGCTACCTCCTCTGGGTATCTTACCTCCTGCGGTATGCTGCTTTCTTCTTCCATAGTGACGTCCTCGACGTCGCCACCGCTCATTCTGCGGGGAATTGTCCGATCTCTTAAAGTTAACATGCTTACTCGTGATATGTTATCACTTTCGCGCAATGTTTCAGAGTGTTCCTTCTTCCACTCTGCTCTTATTCGAGAGCTGTGTCTTGAGGTACCAGTCCCTCTTGGCACCCTTGCTTTACGGTGCACTTTAGACTAGACACTGCTCACAAGCTTCTTTGAATAACGGATTGGAAGCACTCTTAGTGTTCCAACTCTCCGCTACTCGTTTCTTCTGTACAGTACTTTGAACCTGTCAGATCACCTTTGGCACTTCCCAAGTAAGCTTTGGTTCGGCCCCCAAGTAAGAGTATTGTCCCCCTAATAGTGGTGTGCCGAAGGTAATGACAGGTGTGTACTTAGTACAGAACGCCACACAGTGATTCACTAACTGTTTTATTTACAACTGACAAGGAAACAAACACTACAACAATGAAAGGTTTCTTCTGCTCAACAGAGCTATACCTGAAAAGAGAGTGTACCTGACCTGAGAAATATCGATGCAGACGGGTGAGCCTCGGCCAGTGTCGCCGGCAGCGGGAGTAAGATTCCGGGCAGCTACGATATCCGAGAACCAGAATCAGAATGAACCTTACCGTCCTCACGAGCTCTTATACCACTCCAACTGCCGTTATCCAAATCCCGTCATTCCGGGTAACACCCCACTGTATCTTAGATCCAAAACCGTAGCTCCGATGGCTTTCAGCGCGTCGCGTTACATCTCCGAAGCGGCTCGTAACGCCTTCTCTCTAGGAATAATCACTCAGGCAGCTGTGGCTCCTTTTCTCTTTAACAACATATCTGTTCTCATTGTTTTTCTTCGCATTTACTGCTCATGTCCATCTGACCTTTTTATTGTGTAAATCCTGAGCTCTTCAAAAAAGGGGACACGGTGTAAAGCTAAAAATTCGCCTCGGGGACCGTTAAAAAAAAAGAACAAAAGTATGACGGCAAAAAAATATCGCGAAGGAGAGCAAACTTCCAACATGTCGGACCCAAAAAGTTATTCACCGAATAAATGACTTGAAGAATTTTTCGATTCGGATCTCCACCCCCTGGTTTTTTTTTTTTGATAAAAAAGGCCGTGTCACAAAGGAAGCACCCACTACATACTACCAAAGCCGGGCTCTGTCAGCGAATATTCTTCGAAATTTTATGTCTCAACGGACCAATGTTTCGTGCATATAAAGGGAATCCCAATTCATTCTTGAGTGGGAAATGTGAAAGGCATCATTCTGTGGCAAGGAATCGTGGCGAAAACTGGGCTGATTTTTGCATGAAGGTGCAGCCGAGCCGACTGGAGTAAGGTTCGCTTTTGCTTGATATGTTTCTGCATTTGTTCGTTATTCTCCTTATATTTTTCGTTCTCTTTTTAGTGCCTTGCGATCAAGAAAAGCCATCAAGAGAAATCAAGTTAAAGAAAAACGTGAAGAGAAAACAAACAAATGCTAAAACATATCAAGCAAAAGCGAACCTTACTTCAGTCGGCTCGGCTGCACCTTCATGCAAAAATCAGCCCAGTTTTCGCCACGATTCCTTGCCACAGATGATGCCTTCCACATTTTCCACTCAAGAATGAACTTGGGATTCCTTTACATGCAGAAACATTGGTCCGTTGAGACATAAAGTTTCAAAGAAGATTCGATGACAGAGCCCAACTTGGCAGTAGTGGATGTTTCCTTTGTGACTCGGCCTTTTTTGAAAAAAACCAGCATGAGATCTTCGGCGCTCTTCTGAATTGCATATCATGTAAAATACTCGAAGAAATTTAAAGTTTTATGTGAATCTGGTCCAAATCTAAAACGTTTGCTTCCTTTAGCAGTTCTTGCAACGACTTGTCTTTTTTCAAAGTCCAAGTCCGACAGCAATTTTTAGAAAAAAAAATTCCTGTCATCTTAAGTTGAATGTTCATGTTCATAGATGATTTAGCATTTATATTTGACACATTGTCACATTGGAGATTTTTCAAAACATCTGTATTTGTGAGATTTTGGAAAAATTCTTAGGTGGAGTTATAATTATGGGACGCGTGTAGGTCAGCTTGAATTTCTATTTCAACGGTCCGTTCAATTAGTTTGCTGAACGAATCGAAAAGGCCCTGACTTCGTCTCTAGCGACCAGGGAATGACACAAATAAAAATTTTTGGAAGATATGTCTATTGGGTGAACATCAATCGAGAGAAGAGAAGTGCGCTACTGCCGCTACTGTCAAGAAACAGCAAAAATGCCAAGGAAAACAGTTCTCAACTCGTGGCCTGAAGAGAAGAAACCTTGGAATAGAGTTCACATCGACTATGCCGGACCCATCAACGGAAAGATGTATCTTGTGGTTGTCGATTCATACTCGAAGTGGCCTGAAGTTTCCGAGATGTCATCGTCTACAACAAAAGCAACTTTGAAATAACTTGTTCGCATGATTTGGAAATCCGAGAGTGATCGTGTCAGACAATGGAACACAATCCACATCAAGAGAATTCAAAGAATTTTGCGACGAAAAAGGCACATCCGTTCACCGCCCTTTCATCCACAATCGAATGGGTAAGCGGAGCGTTTCGTCGATACTCTGAATAGATCTCTGTTCAAATTGAAAGATGGACAGAGAGGTCGGGACCCTTTTATGATTTCTGAAGTGTTATCGAAGAACGCCGGGTACTTCAACTTCTGAACAGCTTTCACCAGCGGAATTGTTTCTCGGATGTCAGATAAAGACTACCTTGACGTCGCCTAAGGAAAAGTCGAAGGTGGAAAAGGACCAAGATATGCAAAATGAAAAACCAATCCAAGCGTGATCACGGAGCACGAACAAGATCGTACAAAATTTAAGAACCAGCTTCGATTCGAGTCTAACGGGCCAGACACAAGAAATGGATACTGGCAAGTCGTTTTGGACGATTTCTGTACGATGTTTTGACGGGAGCTCAGCTGTGCGGAAGACATGCGGAGTTGTGGAAATTCACGGCCTATACCGTCGTGAAATTTCACAACCTCTTTAGTACATTTAATCGATCAATAGTGGATGTTATTGCTAAAGTCGAATGTTTTGAAATAGTTTGCATTTCCCTATCATACTTCTCAATGTAATGTTTTTGATGAAGGCCTTAAGCCGTATATAAGTTTAATGGAATGACTGAAGATTTGCTTTTTGCTCCTTTTCTTTGTGGAATAAATTCTGCCACTGAACCCTTTTCTGGA